CAGAATGATTAGTAGTAGCAAGGCATGCTAAGAGAACTTGTAGCAGTTAAGATATATGGGTGCACATGTTGTTGTAGTTGTTTCTGTAGTGGAGAAGCTGGAAAAATACCAGGACTGAAGGAGGAAGAGAGGAGGTGGAAAGTAAAGGCCAAAGTACAGGCCAATAATGGTAGAAGCACTTGAGGCTGTGACTCTTAAGTTGGGAGAGTGGCTCCAACAGATTCCAACATCAGAACAATCTGTCCTGAAGGGTAGTGTTTGGAAAAGCCAAGATACTGAGTAAAACCCACAAACTCCCAGGGGTTCTGTGGAGAACCAAAAATTGAGGAAGACACCTACTACCCAAAGGATGACAAGAGAGTGTCTGTGTGTCTGTGTAATGTTGTTTTATTATAATGCATTGCATATGAACTAACAGTGTAGTCATACATAAGAAAATAACTCTCTTAATATCAATGGAAATAATCAAGTTAAAAAGATATCAAACTAATTTAAATTAGCCAAGAGATATCTTTGAATATATCATAGCATATATGTATGCAAAAATTAGCCCATAACCCTGATTAACCCTGATCAAATGTTTCACTGAATCCATAAGTGAATAGAAATTGATACAACTTTTTTTATAATCCAAAGTTAAATACAGTATCTCTCTATAACTCTTAATGCATAGGTTTTTTATATGGAATTATTTACAGGCTCAAAATGTAAAAAAACATTAACTAGCAGAAGCAAAGGTTTGGAAGGTCTATTGGTCAGTACTTTATAGCATCTCCTTTGACAGAAATAACTGCTTCCAAAAGTCTCCTGTAGCCAATTAAGATTTTTTTTGGTCTTGCATTTGGATTCCCACACCACCACCACCACTTTCTTACAGAACACTTCTATCTCAAATGTCTAAGATTTCCCCAAGATATTCAGTATTACTCAAACTTTGGGCTATGTCAAAGTTTGTTGCTTTTTTTTAAAGCATCTCATGATTGATTTGGAGATATGTTTCAAATGGTTGTTTTCCCAAAATATTTTGAATCTATAAACATAGACTAAGTATGTATTAAAAGATACAGAAAGATGCTGTGCTTTCCATGCAATTGTATTATGTAACCTGGGTAAAGAAATAAATATTGGTAGCATATATATTATATTATAATAACAATAATAAAATTATATTATAAATTATATTATTTTAATGAACCTGAAAGTATTACCTTTGCCTTCTTTTCCATAAGCTAGGGATGGTGGAATTGTTAATTTGCGTTTCTCTCCTACACACATCTGTTTCAAACCTTTATCCCAGCCTTGGATAACTTCCTTTATACCAAGAGTAAACCATGTCGGTTGGCCATTATTATGCTTCTGACTGAAACAAATAAAACATTCACTTAGGACACCCAGTGGAAAAACAAATTGTCTTCTTGGATCAGACCAAATATTTAGTATTTCAGTATCCCATTCATAAAGGCTAATGACAGGCTAATCAAATAGTCATCCTATTCTACTTCTTTCTATAATTCACATGGCAAATAGAATTATAGGATCTCATGAGTTATTTCCTGGGACAAGTTTTGAAAACTGAAGCTGAGGAATGTGAAGCCTTCCAGATTTTACTATCTACACTCACAGCAGTTCTCATTCTTGGTTGTGCTAGGTGTGGCTGCAGGAGTTGTAATTCATCAATTTCTAGGCCCATTTTAAAGCATACACATAAGAGACACTGGAGGGGAAAGGGGACAGATTTTTAGATCTTTTCTCCTCGTTTAGCAACTGAAGTTATTAATAACACAATACAAACAAAAATAAGTAGATTATGTTTGCACTAATTAAAATCTAAGGTCTTCGTGATCATCATTAGCTTAAAAGTATCATCAGGAATTTTAGAACTTTGCAATATTGCAATGTCCTTGTGTGATAAATTGGGAGGAGAGAATGTCACAAAAATGCTTTTAATTTAATAATTAGCATTTGTTTTATATATCAAATGAAACAATGATAGAAAAATCTTTATAAAGAATTTCATTGAAGATTTAACAAAAATGCCATCCAAATCCCCAATAAGGAATGAATTTGGATATCCTCACTGAATAACTATAACTTCTGAAATCTGGCTTTTATTCTTGAAACTACCACTCTCATTTTTCATTTATTTTCTAATCCATAATTTTTCTTTATAGCAGCATTTAAAAAAAAAGACCTGACTCAATAGCATCCTTACAGCCTTCTTATTCATTCTGTGAATTCTTTTTGTACAGTAATATCCAAGGAAATATATTGCTGGGAATTCAGAGCATCAGAACTTCATACATTATTTCACTTAGTAACACGGAATACTTACCAGTTAGTGTTTCTGTTACCTATCTCTTACATTAATGCATTAAAAAACTGAATGTCACTAATATATATAGACATTCTAAAAACTATAAGCATGCTACCAGCAGAGATGGCAGAGACAAGCAATATATTTGACAGAAGCTGAACCCAATTACTGGAGTCAATGTCAATAAATTGCAAATAGATGCAACAGCTTGCCACATAATTAACAGATGTCAAAATGCAAATATGCTTTTTGTCAATTTCATTTGTAGTAAACACCAAATCTTCAAAATATACCATGTTCTAATAATAGAAAATTAAAAATGTAATTGATTTACAATTGATAGATTGTAAAGATGTTTAACATTTAATGTTTAAACATCTAATTCACATGCAAAAAGTAATTTCAGAATAAAGTTTTATAATGTAATTAGACAACCCATGAACCATTGGGTCATTGTTTCACAAAATATTTACATTAACAGCGAAACAGAATGACCAAGGGCAAAAAAAAGCGGTGGGAATGGGAGCCACATCCAACTTCCTGCAGCTAACTCTTTCAGCAACTGATGATGTAACCAATCTACCTAGCCTCCAGAGGACTAGCATGGGGTTAGTCTACTTGATTTCCAGAAATCAAAGGAGGGCCTGGTCTACCCCTGGAGGGCTAGGATAGGACTGGTTCACAGAAACTCTGGATGACAGCACAGAAGCGTGGAAGTAGTCACAAATCTCCCAAATTTTTGTCCCACAGGAGTCACTGATCTCAGTTTTTGGATAACTTTTATAATGCATCCAAGGTACTTTGAGATACTTGATTAAAAATTGTTGCCCTATGATGCACCCAATTGCTGCTTCACCCAGTTAAAAGTTACAGACAGAAGAATTTAGTAGTAGATAATTTAAACTTCTAAAGAATACAATATACCTGGTAGTCCATGGAATTCTAGTGCCTCTTCCAAGGAAAAGCAGCAGATAGAAACCTGATTTGTAAGCCAAATATTATTCAAGATGAGATCATTCCTGAAGTAAATTTTAAAACAAATGACTCTCTCTGTTTCTCATACACTTCCAGAGGTCATGATCCATAAACTAAGAATGCTTGTATTATACTCATTTATATTTATAAAAATATGATGGTACAAAAAGAAAGACGGTTCTTACTGAAGTTAACCAGAACTTTGCTGTAAGAATGGTTTGCTGTGCTTTGCTGTACTTCTGTATTTACAAATAAAAGTTAAAAGTGCTCTTATCCAAAGGAAAATCTCACCATTCAGAAGAAAAAGTGTATGTAATAATAATAGTTATGACCCAACTGAGAATAAATCCACAATATCCTAAAGGCCCAATACCCTTATAATAAGGCCACCAATATTTCCAATCAAGATTACATCATATATTTTGATTTTTGCATCATAAGATGTGCCACTTTTTCTGGTCCAGGACTACAGTTGACTTGGTGGTAAGTTAAGGGCCATATTTCAAAGTATAATGAGAAAAGCCGAAGTATTTTCTACTGTGGTAAATACTGTTCCCATTCATACATCGCAATGTGATTTGTTCAGTTAGTGTGTCTGAATTTGGAGAACAAATACTTACGTGGAATGAAAAAGTGACCCATCTTTCTCTAGATATGCATCATAGTGCACCAACATGAGGTCTCCAAACTTGGTCTTCCTTTTGCAGATGAAAGGTTTATGGAGAACTTCGATTTTGACTTCTGGTTCTGGAATGAGAGCACCAGTCACCAAAGCCACTGTCCCAAAAAGAATCCAAAAGGTACCTTCCATTCTGGTTACTTGAAGATGCGTTTTTCAGAGGCTGAAAAAGCAACTGACATGACCTTACATGCACCTGGCCATTAAAAAAAATCCAACAATGCTCAAATAGAACCTCACATTACTAAGGAATGATCTAAGGTCGCTTTATTTAAAAAAAACAAAAAAAAAACTCTAAAATATACTTTCTTTACTTTCTAGTGTACTTAAATTGTATCTTCTGGAAATTCAACTTCATGGGACTTTAAAACATCGGCCGTTGCAATAATGGTAGAGATGGAAAAGGCTAACCCCGGAGCCGAGCTTCCTCCTTTTGTATCTCACCGCTTTTCACTCTCATTCACTAGATCCGCAGACGTGGCAAACATGGTCTTAAAACCCGCAGAAAAAGCAGGCAAATCTCCTCCAAGCATTTGTATCTATTTAATAGCCACTTCTCCTCTTTCTTTTTTCTGGTTGGCTGAACGCGAGGGCTGGATTTTTCTCCAGCCACTCCATTGGGCAGCTGACCCGTTCATCTGCAAGGGTGGGGGGGAACCGTGAAGAAACCTCTCACATCGCTGAGTGGCGATTGGTCTCCCAAAAATTCTAGCGAGAGAACGCCGCGCATACATTTTGGAATCTCTCAACACAATACCGCCGGCTTCGGAATGCCATCATAGGCTGACGCCACGCATGGATCCGGGTTCTCATTGGTTCCCAAGAACTCATCTGGTCTCTTGGTGTTCTAGCCACGCCCTTTTTCTAATCACATGTAAACTTTGCATTCAGGAACGTATTTACGTAAATCTGCGGAGTGGATAAAGCCCGTAGCTGTAATTAAACCTGCATCTCTACTCTAGTAGCGTAAGGCTAACAAGTTGGCTGGTAGGGTGGGGAGGGGGGAAATAGGGCGGGGAAGGAGGCAGGAGGGCGGGCCGGACTTCTGCCAGCCTCAGGATGGCCTTGGCTGTCCGTGCTGCAGCTGTGAGGCTGAGAGCATAAAAGTTTCCCGGGGGAAGGCCAGGGGCAAGGTTTCCCCTGTCCCAAGCAGATCTGGATGGGGGGACCTTGTCATTATGGAGGGGGTACTATACAAATGGACCAACTATCTAAGCGGTGAGTATTCGGTCTTATCTTGTCTTTCTTTGTTAACCCGCTTAAATTGCGCCATCTCGCCAAATCCTGAACTGGAAGCTGGAAGCTGGTGAAGAGTGAGGTGATGACTTTGAAAACTAGGAAGAAAAGGAAACTGTTCTGGGTGCCTAATTTAGGTGCTGCTGGTTGTTGGAGGTCCTAAGTTTTACAAAGGCCTGGGGGAGTATGAGTCTGGGCTCTGCTGCTTTTCCTTGAAGGGATCCTGGGTTGGGAGGACAGTACTGTCCTGGAAAATAACTCGCTTGCTAAAGTTTTAAATTCAGGCACAGGATGATTTGTAGGAAACTATGCAGATGCTGCCCCTAAAGGAGAAAGAATTGGACAAAAAAGGGACACAGCACCTCATTCGATTTAAGCAAAATGGATTATGCACCATCTGAAAAAAGTTTTTCTGCCTAGTCCATCAACTGTCTAAAAGGTTGGAAGCCAATGATACATAGTGCTCGCAGTATAATGAACTATAAATGATTAACATTTACAGTTTTTTTTCTAACCTGCTTTTTAAAAAAAGACAAATTGGACATACTGGTAGTCATTATAATGTATGCACATGTCTTCTCTAGGTTATTTTTTTCAAGCTGTTTTCATAAGACAAATTATGTGAGGCTAGCTTTTAATCTCCTGATCATCCTCACTGCTCATTTCTGAATAGATTTCTTTGTGATTTTCTTATAAAGTAGTCCAGGACCTACATCAATTGAGTTCAAAATTTATGTTGCTAAACAAGGCTGTTAAGTGGGTTGTGCCTCATTTTTGCTACACTTATTAATCAGAGCACTGTAGTTAAGCACATCTGACTTCCTGCTTTGACTTGCTTCTTGGAAACTGACTGAAAAGATTACCAGTAGTGATCACATGACCCAGGACAGCATAATTGTCATAAATACATACCAGTTTCTATGTGCCTGCATTTTGATCATGTGACCATAGAGATGCTGCAACGATCATAAGTGTGAAAACTGGTCATAAGTCACTTTTTATGTGCCGCTGCAACTTTAGTCACTAAACAAATGGTTGTAAATCAGGGACTACCTGCATTACAATCAGCCAGAATCTGCTTAATCTCTCTAGTTTCATTAGAAACTTAATGCATAATGTAAATACTATTTTGAGTAGGCTATATATCCACTTGTTCTATTTAGCCCACATTTAATTTGCTTGCTAATCAGAATGCCTGTGGCAATTGCTTTCTGAAATCCAGACAGTTAAATCCATTTATTTTTATCAAAGATTAGATTAAGAAAAATTGAATTATAAGAATAGTAAATTTAAATAATCAAATACAGAAGAATACACCGTGCATTCAGAAAGTATTTAATTTTAGAAATATCTGTAAATTTATTAAAAAGAAAAAACTGAAATATTACATTGGCATAAATATTCAGACCCTTTGCAACAATACTTGAAATGTAGCTCAGGTGCTTTTCATTTCTCTTGATAGTTGCTGACATGTTTCTGCACTTTAATTGGAGTCCATCTGTGGTAAATTAAATTTATTGCACATGATTTGGAAAGATATACAACCCCTTTATAGAAGGCCTCACAGCTGACAATTCATACTGGAGCAGAGCAAAAGCCATGAAGTCAAAGAAACTGTCTGCAGAGCTCAGACACAAGAATAGGGCAAGGCACAGATCTAGGGAAGGCTACAATAAAATTTCTGCTGTGTTGTGAAGGTTCCTAAGAGCATGGTGGCCTCCATAATTCTCAAATGGAAACTGTTTGGCACAACCAGGACTCTGCTAAGAGCTGGTCTTCTGGTCAAACTGAGTAATCGAGGGATAAGGCCATAGTAAGAGAAGTGACCAAGACCAATGGTCACTCTGACGGAATTCCAGAGATCCTGTGTGGAGATGGGACAGAGTTCCAGAAGGACAACCATCACTGCTACCCTCCACTGATCTGAGGGTAGCAGATCAGATTATGGCTAAGTGGCTGGACAGAAACCTCTATTCAGTGCAAAATACATGAAAGCCCACTTGGAGTTTGCAAAAAAGCACCTGAAAGACTCTCAGACTATAAGGAACAAGAGACTCTTGTCTGATGAAATGTTTTGGGCTCAATTCTAAATGTTATGTCTGGAGGAAACCAGGTACCGCTCATCACCTGCCCAATATCATCCCAACAGTGAAGCATGGAGGCGGCAGCATCATGCTGTGGAGGTGTTTTTCGGCCACATGGGCTGGGAGACTGGTCAGTTGAAGGAAAACTGAAGGAGCAAAGTACAGGGAGATCCTCAATGAAAAGCTGTTCCACAGTGCTTGGGACCTCAGACTGGGCCGAAGGTTCACTTTCCAACATGACAGTAATTTCAAGGTTGTTGCAAAGAGTCTGAATACTCATGCCAATGTGCTATTTCAGTTTTTTTTCTTTTTAATAAATTTACAGACATTTCTAAAATTCTGTTTTCAGTTTGTCATTATGGGGTACGGAATATAGATTAATGAGAAAAAATAAATTTCAACAACTACAGAATCTTTTTTGCGGTATAACAAAATTGATAAAAGTGAAGGGGTCTGAATACTTTCTGAATGCACTGTAAGTAAACAGTGGCACATATAAGGCTTGATCTGTTTACACAATCACAGCTGATCTGGTGTTGTCAGGAAAGCTAACTATGTTGTATTTACAGTATCCATGCAATCTACTAAGGAAGTTGCCTAATCAAAAATGAGATAATTTGCCTGATATGATTGATTTTTTCCATATTATCTATGATAGAGCTTTCAGAGTGTTCATAAATTGGCCATTTTCTTTAGAATCTTCTTGCTGAGACTATTTTTAGTACCCAAGTGTTTTTTTGTTTTTGTTTTTTTGAAGATAGAAACACTTGCCTTCTTCCAAATATTTGTCTTTTCACCAGTTCTTCAGTTTCTTAGGATTAGATTAATACATGTAATTTCCTCCCCAACCTTCAGTGGTTTATGAGCAATGGGCCTTAGAGATTTAAACTCATTTAAAGACCTTGAGCTCAAGTCCCAACTTAAGAACTTTGTGCCAGCCAGGTAACTTTGGGCCAGTCGCTCTAAATAGGAAAAAGTTTGCCACTTTGAGATAGAAATAAAGTTTAAAAAACAAAGATGATAGATATTCCTTGAACATCACCTTAAAGTTTTAGCCCTGCCCCTTAATCCAGATTTGTACAATTGGTTCAGGGAAAAAATAGTGTCTTATTGGGGGATGTTTGAGCCAACCTATAAATTAAGAAATTTTGACTTTTCTTTGCTACTAGTTAGCATTTTGACTTTCTTTATGAGCAGGTAGTATATTGTTCCTTTGTTCTTAGCATCTTTTACTAATTTCGGTTCATTCCCAATTTTAACTTTCCCAGTACCATCCCTGGAGGGTAGGTCTACTGTTGAGCAGTCTTCTTTTACAGGTAATCCCTGGATTACAAGTGTTCCCTTAGTGAACGTTCGAAATTGCAGGATAAGTGCCCCGTAGCGTTTACGAACGAATCCCAAAATTATGAATTTTGCAGTAGCACAGCAGTTGTTCACTCTTATGAATGACTGTAGAGGCTCTGCAACATTTGCCCCACCTATTTCCACTCTCCTTCCAGATCTTCACAGGCACTTTGCCTGTGGATACTCCCTTACTTTGTGAAGATCTCTCTGTCACACTTTCCTTCCTTCATTGCTTTGGGATTTTGATGCATTACCACGAAGAACAGAGATTCTAACATGCTGTTGGAGAACAGAGGTCTAACATACTGTGAGATCAGTAGCACAAGATCTTGTGCTACTGATCTCATGTGATCTCATACTTTAGGCCTCTATTCTCTGTGAATGGAGGGAAGGTTTTGGTCCTCCAAGCGTTCCCTCCATTTGCCATTTCCTTGCCAAAGTCTGTAGGAAGATTGCCCTTCTCAAAAAGCTTTTGCTGGCACCAGCAGAGCTTGGGAGGAGCAGGCACATCCCTCAGAATCTCTGTTCCTACCATCAAAGGCTTTTTGAAAAGGGCTGTTGAAGCCTAAAGGGATGCAATTTGCCATTGAGAAAGGAGCAATGACAGGAAGCCTTTTTTCATCGCCGAAGGCCTCATCAAGTAGATTGCCGGTGAGAAAGGAGTCCTGGAAGACTGCACTCAGCACTCCTTTTTTGTCTCCAGAGGCCTCATTAAACAGATTGCCAGTGAGAAAGTTAGGCCCAGAAGGCCATGCATGGCCCTCCAGGCTTCCTTTTTTGTCACCAGAGGTCTGACCAAGTGGATCTCCATCGAGAAAGGAGGCCCCAGCCTCCAGCCCCCTTTTTTCATCACCTGAGACCTCATCAAGCCCTTCGCTGATGAGAAAGGAAGAAGCAGGCAAAGAAATAGGTTGGATAGGAAACAGATCTTCATAAGGTAAGTCACCTGGCACAGTAGGATGGGATAGAAGCAATTGTGGGGAGAAGAATGAGGTATCTGTGGGTTGGGGAAGCCCTTGGGTGTTCTGAAGTAGGTGGCCTGTTCCATCACTAGCCCCTTCCCATGGCCTTCCCTATCCCAAGATACCTCATGTGCATTTAACAAGCTGCACATTCGATTAGCAAATGTGTGGGTAAAAGCAGAGAGTGATCACAGTCAAGTTACGTGATTCACTCCTATGAACCTTCATGTTACAAATGGAATAGACGAGATCCATTACATTCGTAACTCAAGGACTACCTGTATTATTTTCAGAACTTTGTGAAATTTTTATATCTTCTGCTACCCTTTAGGTTTTCACTGAAAGGAATTCCCAGCTAGCTTTTTGCACAATGGAAGCCTCTTTGTTTTATTTGGCTAGATTTTTTTTTAGTCCAAGATACATACTTTGACTGCACTCAGCTTTTCACAGTGTGATCATTCTAGCTTGGCTTGTGGGCGAGGCAGGGTACACTGCCTATTTTTGTAACAGAATGATCTTACAATCTTGAACAAATACATTTTGCTTTAAAAAGATTTATTTATATTATAAGTACAGTCTAAAGTACAAGGAG